CTCCAGTGTGTAAGTCCATTCTGCATATCTTGTGCATAACTGCTCTAAAGGGTATTACTTTGTGTATTTTATGTGTCTGTAGTGTACCTTGCAGTAGTATGTAAAAAGTAAGATTTGCAACATGCAAACATGCAAACATGCAACATCGACCCAGGTGTCATGACAATGACAACACCAAACAAACCTTGAAGAGCGAAAAGGAAGGAAGGAAGGAAGGAAGGAAGGAAGGAAGGAAGGAAGGAAGGAAGGAAGGAAGGAAGGAAGGAAGTTTAAGAATCCATTTATCTTCTCTCCATTTGGATAAGAAATATCTAAGCTTTACGAATTTTTAATTGAAGCATAATTTAAATCACATAAAATTTAAATCACATAAAATGTATCAACTTAAGAAAGAGTTCAGAGATGGAAAGACATTCATATCGTTGAAAGAATATACCTGGCAGTTGTCAGAAATAACCCAATTAATTCATGACCTGTGTCATAAGGATTCGTGTGAAGAAAAACATCAAGGGCTACCCTCTAAAACTGCTCTTGTCTCTGATCAAGAATAATATAACACCCTGGGGATGCTGGCATGAACTGGTGGAAACTAAATATAGGGTGGAAATGTCATAGCAGCCACAGCATTACCACCAAATCCCTCTGCCTAGCCTCCATGGGGGAAAAAAAGGGCAATCCTGAGGGCTAACAGTAAACTACTGAAACCCAGCAACTCAGCGCCCCACACTGCAGATGCTCTGCCTGATGTGCTGCTGCAGCAGGCTAACATGGCCAGGGGTAAACAGCGCAGAGCCAAGGAGCTGGCAAGTGTGTTCGCTTCCCTCCTTCACAAAGAAGAAACAGAAGCAGTGCGCATTCGCCCGAGACACGCAAGCATTTCGGTCTCTCTCAGAATGACATTCTCACTCGTGGACATAAAATGAGTCTGTAGCAATTTTTACTATTTAGAAACGTCACAGGACATCACTAATAATTACATTAGAATGGATAAATAAAACATCTAATGGTATTTAATAAATTCTGAATTTCATGATAAATATACAAAAGAGGTGATTTGTACAAATAGAAGGTCAAGCGCTCCTGGTGCAGAGAGCTTGACTGCCTATAGATGAGCTTAAGGATACACAGTTTTGGAACATCTTGAAAACATAAGGCAGCATGGCTTATATAGCCAAGGTTAATGCATCACCTTGCTCAGTCTCGCTGCAGGCTCTGCTTCTATGTCCTTGACAGACACGTCTCTTACACACCAACAAAGAGCCCATAGCCACTGTCAACATCCATCAACTTGGATGGCACTCAGTTCTATTAGGAGTTTTGATTATAATACAGAAATAAGCATCTTTAAAGATGGGCAGTTTAATAACCTAATTTTATGTACTTATACACAATCTCCAAAAAGATCACAAATTGTCTGAAGAAAAAAATAAAACAAAATAAAAACTAAAGATGATGCAAGATTATGAGGAAAATGGAGCAAAAGTCCATACTTTAAAGGCCCAGTTACAGTCTTTAAGGAGTGTGCTGGCTAGTTTCATGTCAACTTGCCATAAGCTAGAAGTATTTGGAAAAGCAGGCTCTCAAATGAAAAAAAAAAAAAAAAAGTCTCAATAGTCTTGGCCTGTAGGCAAAACTGCTGCACATTTTCTTAACTGTGATCTACATAGAAAGGCCCAGCCACAGAGTGTGGGGCTACCCCCGGGCTGGTGATCCTGGGTTCTACAGGAGAGCAGGCTGAGCAAGCCGTGGGGAGCAAGCCAGTAAGCAGCACCCCTCATGGCCTTTGCATCGTTGGCTCTGGCCTTCAGGTTCCTGCCCTGTTTAAGCTCCTGTCCTGACTTCCTCCAATAATGAACACTGATATGGAAGCATAAGCCAACTTTGCTTCCCAATTTTCTTTTGTTCATGGTGTTTCATCACTGCAATAGTAACTCTAAGAAAGAGATTCAAGGAAATATTACATTAATTGACGTATTACTAGGCTTCTAAGAAAACAGTAAATGGTGGATAAGAAATAAAATTTGGAAATTAAAATAGAGCTTTCAAAATAAAAACATATTCAGTGGGTTGATCATGATAAATTGGATGAAGTCATTCTCCCAGTAGGCAAACAGAGGCAATGATTACATGACACATCAGAATGATACATCAGAATGCAAACCAAAGAGATAGGAGTATGGAGGGAAGATAAGGCTTACAGGTACAGTTTTGAGAAGGCAAACTGTACATATTGCCAGTTTTAAAAATGGAGAGAAGGGGTACAAATGAACAATAAACATGAAATGTTCTGTGACAAAATAGCACAGTGGGTTGAAGAATGAAAAGTTCTGAGTTATTTTAAAGATGGCAAACAAAAGCAAACAAACTTTACCTTCACCTTGTTATGGTTCTGTTATAATTTAACAACTCTTTAAAAAAGAAAAAAAAAACACCTAAAGAAATAGAAAAACTACAGACATTAAGTTAGAACTTTCCCCAAAACATAGATTTTTAGCAAGAAAATCCAGAAAAAGGTTTTTGTCTAGGAATATTAGAGAAGTATTTCACTAGTCAGCTTGAAAGTTCCTCGTGTCATATAAATATAGCCATTTTATGGTCAAATGTCATTGCCATGCCTTTTCAAAATATTGGTACTTCAGTGTTTTGCATCACATACAGCATTGGCTATTTTCGCACAAAACAGGAATCACACTGAAAGCAAACAGCAGAGCATGTGAGACAACAAGGCCGTTCCCCTGAAATGCAAATGAACCGTTAATTTAAATTGACTGAATATTATTAACTGAATATTAGCTGAAGGCAAAATGAGAATATTTCAGGTGCGCAAACACTGCGATGGTTTATCTCCATAGAATATCGAGAAAGTTATTCTAGGAAATCCTTAGAAGGCCACTCATAAGAGCAGCGTAGAAACCAAGTAAGAAGGGCAGCTGAGTGTGAGCTGGTGGGCTAGGAAAGACTGGCTGTGTTAAGAGACATGTTGCTGGGCCCATTTGCCGCTCCATGGCTCCATTCAAAATAGTTAATTCTGCAAGAAATCAGACTCATTCACATATAATACATTTAAGTGGTGTTTTATTGGGTTCACTTATTAATTTACTAAAAATAGAATTATCAGTATGAAACAAATGCAAGCACTACCAATTATGAGGGTATTAATACTAATACTCAGTGCAGTGAAATGCTTTAAATGCACCTTTATTTCTATAACAGAATCCATAAGTGCTATCTAAGTGAATAAACAAATATACTCTAACACTATATGATCATCAATACATGCAAATTTAAATATTAACAAAATGATTGGTCAGAGAGGAGAGAAGAAACAGATTCACTTTATATAGTCCAGTGGTTTGTCAATAACAGGTTACATCCTTGCATTTCAAGTAGACAGTCTTACAATAGTTAACAAAGGGCTCATCCAATTGTCACTGAGCATGGCATACCACCTGAAGGAGTGTGTGTGTGCAGCAGGAATGTCCCTACGTGATGAGCGCGATCATGACCCAAAGTTCTGAACGGACTGAATCTACCTCAGATGAATGGTGATGCTGGAGGAACATCACACCAACCTGAAGATCATCAAAGCTTATTGCATCAAAGGGTTAATAGAACTGAAAGTGTTTATTATTTACTTTATTCTAATATTCTACACGATACCTGATTCCAACGCATTCCCCAAAGGATAAAAAAAAACGTAATTGGTATTGTGAGTAAACATGCTATATGTTGAATATATACAAATATTTTCTTCTACACCACTACTACATGCTATTAGAGAAGAAGATATTTTGAATAAAAAGTAAGTGTCAAGGATGGAGATTCAGCTCAGTAGTTAGTGGCACTTGCTGCTCAACTCTGAGGGGCAGGGCTAGGACCCCAGGACCCATACAGCCAGCCAGGGTCCTCCACTGACGCCTCCAGCACCAAGGCGTCTGATTCACTCCTCTAGCCTAGGCTCAGGCACAGGCACCTGTACCCCCACCACACATACTACATGCACACACAGAACATAAGTGATCTTCAAAAATTAAATAAGTGTAGATGTGGAGGTTACACTGCTGTCTAGTAACATTCTTATAAGCAAAACTATTGCCACATTCATTAGTTTTTATAACAAGAAATTATACTTCTATGGCAGTTTGTGCCTACTGACACCTTCATGGGATCTGGAGTCACCTAAGAAACAAGCCAAGGCACACGCTTAGGTGGTTTTCTAGATTAGTTCAGCCTCCGCCCCTGCCCCTGAGAGACTGTCTTGACTACAGGATGTGCCGTGGGAAGACCTGCCGCCACCGCGGGCAGCACGCTGCCTGGGGTGAAGTTTGGAGCTGCATAGAAAGAGGAAGAAGCTGAAGGCAGCATCGCTCACCATGTCTGGCTGCAGATACAGTGTGGTCTGTTGCCTTAACTACCTGCTGCCATGACTCTCTCCCTCCCTGTAATTGCTCTCCTTGGGTATTTTATACGAGTAACAAGATAAATACCTAATACAACCCCTGTAACATGAATTACATTCTTTCTTTTTCTTTTTTTATTCCTTTGACTATACATTTATATAGGATTTTAATTATTATTCTGATAACCAAGTAAATGTATTGAATAGACACATACATTCTTAAATGGTGCACAATTCTATCTATGCATTTTAAAAATGAAGACTAGGGAAATTATGTCACACCACAGGAAAAGAAAAAGTCTTTTCTTTAGGACAGGGGTCACAGTGAGTAGAAATGCGGGCAGGTGTGCTGACTGCTGGGCCTGTGGTGAGGTGGGTACACAGAGACTCTGAGCTGCCCTTACCACGAATAAGCATGTGACCCGAGTTAACCAATCGCTAGTTCTGTTGGCCCAAGCTCTCCTCTCCTCTGTAAAACAGCTTGCAACAAATAAGCTCTAAACTTCGTCTCGAGTAAATAAACTCAGAGTGTATGAATAGCTCTCTTGTAGAGATCTGAATGTTACATACCAGCTAATAGGAACATAAAGAAATGTCATACCTTTCTATCATCCTTCATCTTTTTTTTATATCCACTGTCCTGTCTGGATTCATGAAGACCTTTCTGAGTAGGGCCTTCTGACTTGTTTTCTTTCTCACAACTGTAACCAGCTGCAAGATAAAAGCCATAAAAGATATGATTATAACAAACACGTATATCGAGATTCTTTTAATGCACGTATTATGAAAGTATTAAAATTATCTATATAAGATATCATTATACAGGGCTTCTGAGACAGGTCAGGGTTAGTGCTTGCCCATACTTGCTGCCAAGTCTGTTGACCTGAGTTTGATCCCCAGGACCCACATAGTGAAAGGAGTGAACTGACTCCTCCCACAAGTCATCCTCTATCCTTGACACTTGTGTTGTGGCACACACACACACACACACACACACACACACACACACACACACACAC